GGTTGCCAAACACGGCGGCTACGTCCACCTGCTCCGATTCTACCGTCACACCGCCCTTTGAGCAGAGTGTAACGCGTATCGTTCGACGGGAACTTGAAGCAGCAAGTCCAGCGCCGCTTCAGCCCACTTCTTTCGAACATACGATACCGACAACCCCCGCGATCTCCGTTATTCAGGCGGTCGTACGACAAGAATTCGCCAACCGCGGGTTCCCTGATGCTTGCCCCATCTCTTGCCCCTCCTCCAGACCAATTCCCATTAATGCACCTCGACGTGACCCATTTGTTGCTCCACGATCTCGCAACCCGGCGGAATGGCGAACTCCTGACGACAAACCGATCTGCTTCCGGTGCCACCGCGTAGGACATGTCTCCCGCTACTGCCGTGCCTCCTGGACGCCGCCACATAGGAGCCAGTTTTTCGCACCTTATAGCCCATATGAAGATCTTCGCCGGTATTCGTCCAGCCGTACCGCCCCTGCTTTCGACACGTCTAACAGCCGCCTTCCTGCTCGTTCTCCGTCCCCTCAACGCCGTCGTTCCCCGTCGCCCCAGCCACGCCGCCATCACTCGCCGCCTAACTTTTCATCGTACCCGACGGAAAACTAGACAGTGCAGCCCCTGGAGGTAGTGCTGCATCATCCCTGTCTGAACCAAACCCTCCATTGACGCTTCATACGAACAAAAATCTTGTCGATGTACACGTGGACGGTATTTCTCTGTCGGCACTAGTCGATACTGGCGCTCATGTGTCCATAATCAGCGTTCATCTTTGTCGCCGCTTAAGAAAAGTACTCACGCCCCCTGCTACCGAAGCTGTACGTGTGGCCGATGGCGGCACTGTTCCTGTCATTGGCATGTGTACGGCTCGCATACGCATCGCCGACCGTTACATCCCTGTTCTATTCACGGTGCTCCAGAACTGTCCTCATGACCTCATCTTAGGGATGGACTTCCTGTCGACCCATTCTGCTCTGATCGACTGTTCCGCTGGTACTCTTTGCTTAGACCTTCCTCTTCAGCCGGATATTCACCCTGAACCTCAACACGGCCTTTCTGCCACAGACTTCCTCCGCTTACCGCCTAAAGCCCTCACATTCACCGAATTCGCCACGACCTCACCCGTATTGGATGGGAACTACATCGTCACGCCGATTCCTGATGTCCTACTGGCACGTGACGTCACCGTCCCTCACTGCATCGTAACTGTAGCCTCCAACCGGACCCGTCTACCCGTCATAAATTTCGGCTTCACAAAGCAAGTCCTCCCTGAAGGCATCCTAATTGCCACGTTGCGGTCCTTAGCCGATGATCACGTCACCACTTTCGCAGCCGACGCATGCCCCAATTTTCCTTGTCGCCCACTCGATGCCACATGCCTCGACATGTCAATACGTCCCATGATCGACCCTGACCTTCCCCCAGCGCAATCAGCCGCTCTCGCACGCCTTCTAGCTTCCTACCGTGACATCTTCGACCTTGACGACCGCCCACTCGGCCAAACTTCTCTTGTAAAGCACCGCATCAACACCGGTGATGCTGCTCCCATTCACCGTCGACCGTATCGCGTGTCCGCGTCGGAGCGCCAGATTATTCAAGCTGAAGTGAATAAGATGTTAACTAAAGGCATTATTGAGCCCTCATCAAGCCCATGGGCGTCACCCGTCGTCCTGGTTAAAAAGAAGGACAACACATGGCGTTTTTGCATCGATTACCGGCATCTAAATCGAATCACCAAAAAGGACGTGTATCCTTTACCACGTATTGATGACGCCCTCGATTGTCTCCACGGCGCACGCTACTTTTCATCCATCGACCTTCGTTCTGGTTATTGGCAGATTGCCGTAGACGAGAAAGACCAAGAAAAGACCGCCTTCATCACTCCAGATGGCCTATACCAATTCAAGGTTATGCCCTTCGGCCTATGCAATGCCCCCGCCACGTTCGAACGTATGATGGACTCTCTGCTACACGGGTTCAAATGGTCAACATGCCTGTGTTACCTAGACGACGTCCTCGTATTTGCACCTACGTTTGAGACCCACCTTGAGCGTCTGTCGGCCATTCTCGACGTCTTCCGCAAAGCTGGCCTCCAGTTGAACTCCTCGAAGTGTCACTTCGGCCGCCGACAGATTACCGTGCTGGGCCACCTTGTCGATGCTTCTGGTGTGAGACCGGACCCTGAGAAAATTCGTGCCGTCACGAATTTCCCAGTACCCCCAATCCGCCAAAGATGTCCGGAGCTTTGTGGGACTTTGCTCCTACTTTAGGCGGTTCGTGAAAGATTTTGCGGCAATCGCCCAACCACTTACCGATCTTTTGAAGAAAGGCGTTCCATTTTCGTGGGGGTCCACTCAAGCTGCCGCCTTCTCTCACCTCATAACACTTTTGACGACGCCCCCTATCCTCGCCCACTTTGACCCATCTGCCCGAACTGAGGTCCGAACTGATGCCAGTGGTCACGGTATCGGAGCCGTTCTCGCCCAATGCCAACAGGGACACGACCGCGTTATCGCGTATGCTAGCCGCCTCCTTACACCTGCAGAGCGTAACTATTCGATCACAGAGCGAGAATGCCTTGCTCTTGTCTGGGCGGTCTCAAAATTCCGTCCATATTTATATGGCACTCACTTTTCCGTCGTCACCGACCACCACGCGCTCTGCTGGCTTTCATCCTTAAGAGATCCTACAGGTCGACTTGGTCGCTGGGCTCTGCGACTGCAAGAATACACCTTTTCTGTGATATACAAGTCTGGACGCCTGCACCAGGACGCCGATTGCCTTTCTCGCTATCCAGTTGACCCATCGGCCACCATACCTGACAACGACGCCTGCGTGTGCTCCGTTTCTCAACTGAACCACATAGCCGACGAGCAACGCCGTGATGCAGCCCTACGAGCTATCATTGAGCGCCTCGACTCCTCCCCATCGAACCGATCCTATCGCTCGTTCGTACTCCAGAATGGCACATTATACCGGCATAACTTCCATCCAGACGGCCCATCTCTGCTGCTTGCCATACCCAAACACCTCCGCTTGGCTGTACTCCACGAACTTCATGACGTTCCTACTGCCGGTCACCTGGGTGTGTCCCGCACATACGACCGGATTCGCCGTCGCTTCTATTGGCCAGGTCTGGCACGGTCCGTCAGAAGATACGTCGCGGCGTGTGAGGAATGTCAGCGCCGCAAAACACCATCGACGCTTCCGGCTGGGCGCCTTCAACCACTCGATATTTCTACTGAACCTTTCTTTCGCGTCGGCTTGGACTTACTCGGCCCTTTTCCTCTGTCTTCTGCTGGCAACAGGTGGATAGCTGTGGCCACAGACTACGCCACACGCTACGCAATCACACGCGCCCTTCCAACAAGTTGCGCCACTGACGTCGCCGATTTTCTTCTACACGACGTGATCTTGCAACATGGTGCTCCACGCCAGCTGCTCACGGACCGAGGCCGCACATTTCTATCGAAAGTCATAGCGGACATTCTACGCTCTTGTGCAACACGCCACAAGCTCACTACGTCGTACCATCCGCAAACAAATGGCCTCACAGAACGCCTGAACCGAACCCTAACTGACATGCTTGCAAAGTACGTTTCCTCAGATCACTCTGACTGGGACATCGCTTTACCATACGTGACATTTGCCTACAATTCTTCGCGCCACGACACGGCTGGTTACTCCCCTTTTTTCTTGCTGTTCGGCCGCGAACCCACATTACCCCTCGATACGACGATTCCGTTACCAGCAGCTCCAACTTCACAATATGCTCTGGACGCCATCAGCCGGGCCGCCCACGCACGCGAAACCGCTCGTGCTCGCCTTCTGACCTCCCAAGCAAACCAACGGCGTCGGTACGACCAACGACACCGCGATGTGCACTTTTCGCCCGGTTCGTTGGTTCTGCTGTGGTCTCCGACCAGGCACGTTGGCCTGTCTGACAAGCTGCTCTCTCGGTACACAGGGCCCTACAGAGTGCTTCGTGAGGTGACTCCCGTCACTTATGAAATCACTCCTGCTGCCTCGCCGTCTTCATCCACCCCTAGGGCCAGCGACATCGTACACGTCGCACGCCTGAAGCAGTACCACTCGCCCAATGATCTTGACATCTAGATGCGCCGAGACGGCGCCTTTGCCGACGGGGGTTATATGCTACCTGTAGGCTGCCACAAACCATAGTGCGAATGCGCGTGTGCGCCCGACGAAGAAGATGAGGCTCGCTGGCTGCTCGAGCTCGGAGCCAGACTGGCCAGTGCTGCAACCGCTCTTGCAAATATATTTTTCGAATATATTCGCAATACTTTGTCTCGTTACTCACGTAACAATATTTCTGTACAGCACCTATATATACATGACAACATTGCTTTTCTTTGTCTGCTTCAATTATATGTGGGGTTTAACGTCCCAAAACCACCATATGATTATGAGAGACATCGTAGTGCAAGGCTCCGGAAAATTCAACCAGCTGGGTTTCTTTAACGTGCCCCCAAATCTGAGCACACAGGCCTTACTGTGTCTGCTTCACAAGTATGTCCATTCCGATAAGCCTTGCATATTACGCCTGGAAACGCTCACACGTTTACATACTTAACGCAGATTTTGTATAACTAATGATTTCAATTTATCAGCTTTACCTCGTGGCATATCCCACTGAATATTCTTCCGGTTGAATTTTTTTCAATAACTTATCAGAAGATATTTCAGGGTAGTCTTAGCGCACTTTTTATTTAGTCTGTCTTGAGTTTTTGGCAGTTTTCTCCTTGTTTCTCATGTTATACTGTTTCACTTATTCACAGCCTTCTTTTTAATTGTAGACTTGCTTAAAATGTATTTTCGAGCGGTGTCTGTTCTATTTCACCTGTTATTTTATCAATGCATACGCTAGCGAATGCCCGACAGAATCTTTAAGGTTTCTTTTAAATTAACAAATGTCCAGTTGTGGTGTTGATTCCATCGCAAGAATATGATGTGACATTGCTTCGTACGTATCCTTTGCAGCAAACCCATCTCAGGTGTTTTGTGCACCAGCACCTCCGCTACATCTGGAGTCAACAGGAGGCAAGGTTCACAAGATTGAGGTAATATATGCAGTATTCCACGTATATGCATGACTGTGTAAATCTTTCACAAACAAGATGAAACATGGTCGATAGCACTCGCTTCTTTCGTGTGGCCGACACAGATGCCACAAATGGAATCGGAGCTGTGTCATAAGTCACATAAAGACACGCTTCACCTGATGGCATTGCGAGCCCAAGTGTCAATAAATTATTTGAACGTGGAAACTACAAATATAGCTCATACTATGTAATTGTCTTTGCCTCCGCAACATTAGTCCTTAATTCACCACCACGCAAAGCTTTTTTCCAGAAACAGTACACGCTGTATTTTAGTGGATCCACAGAAAATGCATCACGTAACGTAGGACGTGTTTGAGCCATCTATGCGAAAATATTTTGCACACTGCTGCATCTGTTCCTTGCTTTATTTTTATGCATTCAACCTCCAACTACAAAAAATAAACTATAAGCCATCGTTTACACAGACCCCACCACAATTTACGGAAAGCTTTGCGATTGTTTAAAACCACTCTGTTAAGGTTATGCTAGAGAGGTGAGCAGCCAAGTTCATTCGAGATTTTCCGCAATTATCTGCCATACTGGTGCAGGGTTTGATGACCAATCTCTAAAAAAATGAGGCAGACCAGCAATCAAAGACCAGCGATCAAATAAATTACTCGAATTCCAAAGATTATTCTCGCTGCTATCATGTTCACATTGTTTATTTGCTTGTACGTTCCCTTTTCGTTCGCTCGCCACGGTCGACCAAATTGATATTTAGGTATTTCTCCGGCTTGTGGCTGTGTTCGTCGCCTTCTCCACTACGCGATAGTATGATATAAGTTTGGGCATATATAGATTTTTCACACCTTTAGGGTGTAAACTGGCTTGTCGCCAAAGGGAAACCCCTTCGGTGTTTTTGGATAGACCATTCTAAAAGCGTGTGAGCTGAACACCCTAGACAAAGGGTGTCCTGCAAAAAAAAAACTTACCGCATTAGGGACTTCTTACGTTCTAACATCCTTCTACGAGGCTGTTGGAAGGGTGTGTGCCACCTGCTATATCGACTTCGAACAGGCATTGGTACGAGACTCACTATTAACAACTGCAAAGTGTATTAACAACAAGAAAAGTTGTGTGTTAAGTGCGCTTCAAAAAGGAGGCTAATTGCATATATATATATATATATATATATATATATATATATATATATATATATATATATATATATGTATATATATATATATATATAAGTGAGGTTACTGAAATACAGCAATATCACCAAGAACCTTCTTTATGAAGCGATCTGATATACAGAAGTTTCAACTGCCTACTATGATTATGCAAATAAATAAAAAGTTACTCTTAAAGTGAGCAAGCATTTCGTGTATATCTACTGAAGGCTCAATGAGTGGATACAGAAAAAGTGCTTGGTATGTATTTGTCTGTAGACAAACAAAAACATTATATTGAAGACAATAGTACCCATAGCAGTGCACACGTTACACGCGGGACGCAGACATATACACGTTTCATAAACTTGATTGGCCGTTAGACTTGACAACGCGAAACCATGCGAGTTCACCCTCAATAGTTCACTTCAAACCCTCTGATTAAAAACAAATAACAGAGCTGTTCCGGCACACATCGTTATCACTTATTGAGAAATCTTTTTTTCACACTTCCTGTAAGTAAGTATACATTTATTATTTACCACTTGTGTAAATTGTTTTGCGATGCAAGCGTCTTGCACTGCATGTTTTTCTTCTTGCATTGTTAGTCTTTTTGTGAATGTCTTCTTATTGTATTTTGTATTTGCCTCTCCTGCATGGGCTAGCATATTGGCCTGCAGTATCGATAAATAGAATAGAATAGATTTTCGAATAGGATGAATGCCTAGAACGTGGACCACAATGCAGGTTTTTTTTTCAACTGAAAGCATAGATATTTATTATGATAATTTATACGTTTCTTTTACATAGCCATATAAAATAAATCAGTATAGCACACTGTATTACGGTTTCTTATTACAAGTTCGGATGTTAAACTGGTACAATGTACCAAATACCACGAAATACAAGGCGCAGTTAATATAAAAACAAGTACCAAGGAGGTAGAAAGTCAAGTATGTGACGCTTTTCTAATAATGTTGAGAAACTTCGTCAAAACAGACCTCAGCATTGTTTCTCAAAGACCATAAAAATTGTTCGAGCCCTACAAGCGTGTTGACTTTTGCGGGTGCATTGCAGAATAAACAGCCATTATGAACCCATCGTGGCAAGTCAATTTTGAACGGTCCATCATAAGCCTCAAAATATCTGCCTCCACTACGAAAATGCCTACTAAAGGTCATAAATTATGTTTCTGTTATGCCCTCCTGTATTGCCAAAGTGAAAACAATATTTTGAGCATAAGAATTGGCTTCATCAAAATCTTGTACACTGCAACAAGTTGCTCTTGTCAACGCGACAAGACACAACGTGTTTTAAACAAATTGGCCCTGCTGTATATCTAATAGCCACAGATTTCCGAGGAGCAAAATAAGTAATTTTTATCTCTGCACAATAAGTCAAATTTAAGTATGACTGAAAACCTATAGTGTATTTCGATATTCAGGGGAGCCCAAAAACGTCCTTATAAAACACTTCAGAGAAGCAATCCTGTATCTGAACAGCACGTTATTGTATTTATTTCTCTCTAAATTGTGAGCGAACACAATTCATAAACTACGTTTGCACTCAGGCAAAATACGAATAGATGAAATTCAATTATTACCAACACTCGCAATCAATGCGCTCACGATGCTGGCAGATATGACCAAATGCATGTGTGCCGCCTCTTGCGTCATTGCGAATCCCAATGTTTTGAGATTGTACGACCACAAGCTATGCACGTGTTACAACAGAGCAAACGAACTAACAGCCATCTCAGACCTGCGCTTACGGCGCTTTTAATAGCTACAACCACCGGCCAGGCCGACTGAAATCACGCTCACCTGCCCTTCTTTTCACAGCACACAAGCCTTAATCCATCGCTCTCTCTTACCCATTTCTGCTATAGCCTACGCTATGAGAAGGTGTGCATTAGGATGCACTGTCTGTCTTCTCACAATCACACACGTTCCCTTTAACCAACAGCGTATGTGTCCCAATTTGTAGTTATGTCAAGAAAATTTGTTTAAACTAAAACAGCAAAATTCAAAGCCAAAAAGTTAACAATGTACGCTAGGAACCTCGGCTACTTTTTACGATCCGTTCAGAAAATCATTAGGAACAAAACACTGAAAAAAACTCATCATAATCTTTAGTTCGAAACAATTTGAAATATACGAGTTCACACGCGAAAATTTGGTAGATCACACGAATCTGGGAATTCACATGATGCGAAGCATGCGGACGAAAGGTGACCGTGTTGCATTTTTTATTGAATGTACGTCATTAATGACGTGAAAACTATGTAGAGGCGTTTCACGCACAGATATATGTTGATTGATTGGTTATTATGCTGCTTTAGCATTCCAAAACCACCATATAATTATGAGAGACGCCGCAGTGGAGAGCTCCGGAAATTTCGACCACCTGGGGTTCTTTAACATGCAGCCAATCTGAGCACACGGGCCTAAAGTATTTTTGCCTCTATTGAAAATGCAGCTGCCGAAGCCGAGATTCAATCCCGCGACCGGGGGTTGATCAGCCAAGTACCTTAGCCACTAGACCATATCGGCGGGGCACACAGATGTATGTTGAAGAGTTGCAAATGTTTATATAACCAGTTGTTGGCACTTGAGCAACGATGCCAAGTGGAACATGCGTATTAGCAGCACCAGAAGGTGATATGAAGCGCTGATGCTCGTGAAGATGCTGGCGCTGAACACTGCTACAATCATCAACTTCAGGGCATGGTAACTAATCACAATTGACGTTAACCCGACGTGGCGGCTGTATCAAAGGATTGCATACGCAATTTTTATAAAATTGGGCAGGCAGCGCTGTAACTACACGTGACGTTCACAATGATTAGCTTCTATTTGAAAAGTAGTTCTGAGTACTGGCGTAGCTTTGGTAAAATGCTTCATTGCCACGAAGAATACCGGGTTCCATTTCCAGCTGGTACTCTGACAGACATTCTTTGCAATCGTCGGGATGATGCTACCGAAGTGGGGTGTTTCTTAACGCTCGCGCGTTAAAAAATACTGTGGCACTGTCTGGCGAGAAGTGTTTGACGACCCGCACGACGGGACTTTGCTAATATTATTGTCTTGACCACGGCGTCTTATTCGTCAAATCAATTTACCTTTCCATACTAATATTGGTTCACGTCAAGTTACAGGGTGACCGTGAGAGCACCGAAACGTAGGCGACTAGCTAGATAGATAGATAGATAGATAGATAGATAGATAGATAGATAGATTAGATAGATAGATAGATAGATAGATAGATAGATAGATAGATAGATAGATAGATAGATAGATAGATAGATAGATAGATAGATAGATAGATAGATAGATAGATAGATAGATAGATAGATAGATTGACTAAAGTCACAGAAGTTCACCGAGAAACCTTCGCATTTAACAACTTATCTATGCTGTTGTGCTCTCACTGCCAAAGGTTTCTTGAGCGTATAATTACCACCAAATATCAAAGCCTATTGAACTCATAAACTGAAATTTTCAGCAGGAGCTTTCATTTTTCTAACATATAACAGTAGGAACCTAAACGATTCGCATCGTGTACGCTATTGGAATGCAACAATAAAAAACACCAGAGAAAGTTTCAACTTGCAGAACACTCAAGGCCGGTACACCCAACTATAGGGGTGCATACTGTTACGCCTTGGTTCCACACCGAACGTCATTGCCTCTGCAAATGCAATCTGTGACTAGGCCAGCAAGCGAGCCCGCCTAACGCGATCATCTCAACGACATCGTGTAGTCCGGCGCCGCCGGTCTGTCTTACGCAATACAGAGCGAGCTCCCTCAACCCAAGTGTCCCTTAGCAGGCCGATGATGCAAGTGG